GGATAATTGGTGTCCGTACTGAAGTAGAAACCAACTGAACAAGGCCGGCATGAAACTGAGAACAGTAGACAGTAGCCGCAAAATGAAGGCTCCCAACACATTGGCCAAAAAGTGAAGGGCGATAAGGAAGTTACTATGACAACNCAACCACGCCCTGGGACCATAGACACTCAAAGTACGGAAAAAATAGGCGATGGATTGGAGACGTTGGTGAGACGAAGATTTCTTAAAACAATCGTCGTTAAAAACAACGATCAGGTGAGCGAATCGATTAGTGACCGACAACAATAAATCGACCGATTCCTGTAAGATCGATTAGCCATTATACATTATGCCTCAATTGTTATAAGGTGACGGGAAGAGCACTTGCGAGTAAATCAAAATGGTGGTCCACAAGATCGGGCATGAGTCGGGTAGTGAAGAAAGTCACGTTTGATAGGTTTAATGATCCAAATCGGTTACGAATTGTGAAGTTGGAGCATGTAGGAAAAACATTAGGAAAAGTCAGACCAGAAAGATGAGTGAGGAAGACAGCACTACATACATAACAGATTGAATCAACAAGGTTTCGGTGTTGAAGTGACCGGTTTGCGCAGGCCCTCAAAATTTTCAACGGACAAACCATACAGCATTTGCACAACGGACACTCATTCATTCATTCCATGTGTCTCCGACCAACGAAAATTCTCATTTCTTGAGCCCAAACCTGGAAGGCAGCAACCGAAGCCAATGCTGGAAATCAGGTCACCGGAGTTCATCTCGTTTTATTTGCGGAACCGCGAGGACAGTTTCAGGCGGCTAAATAGATTCGTGCGTGAAGTGTTCCGATGAATTGGGATTTTTATTCTTGCTGGTTAACGGTTGTTAGGACGGAGTGCACAGAACCCGTCAGGTCACACATCGATCCGCATCACACAAGTGCGTTCGTGACGCCCATAGCTGAATCGACTCCGGATTGGATGACTGAAACGAATCAGACGGCTGCCAGCCGATCGATCAACCAGGGTATCAAGGACGCGATCTGATTGCTGCGTCACCACGTAGGCCGAATTTACCACATATATTTGCGTATTGCGAAATGATCAATAATATACTCTGACTATCGTTTTCTGAGTCGTGTTCTCTCTCCGTATCGTTGTTGGGAGCTAGTCCGGAGGCGTTCGTATCGGTCATATGTCTTGGTAAGACTTAACAACGGTGTATTATAGAAAGATTTTAGGAGGAACATTTATGTTGAAGCCAGTTTACTGATCCTGCTTTTAAAGAATGACTAAATGTACGTGAGTGGGAAGACAGAGAGGAAGAATGTTCCAGAGTTGACCTGGTCAGGGGTAAAGGAGCATTGCAAGAGGCGAGTACGGGTTCTGTTGATAGAATTCAAAGGATGACTAGATGTCGATTGGGATGGCTCAAAACATTAACTGCCTGATCAAGCGTCAAAAAACGAACCAATCGTCAGTTGTCAAAAAACACAACTGAATACATCCCAAAGTGGCTGATGAAATCAATGACGAACCCACACCAGACTGCCAGGCGGTCACAGGGATCCCTGTAACATTCATTGCATAACAACTCACGATACCCAACCATAATCGATCCCACCTCTTTTTTCTAAACCCTCAATGCGATGGTTAATCCGATCACATCATTGCGTTTTGTGTGCAATCAACTCATTTGCCGTGGAGTCGACCTTTTCTAATTTTAATAAACCCTGAATATTTATGGACGTCCGTCTACTGGGATTCACCAACCCAATGTGCTAAAAGTGTGCCTGTTTGTTTTATGTCAGCGATTGAGGAGATTAAAAGAAATGTTGAAATCCCTTGATGTGTTTTCTTTCGGTCTCAATTCGAAATAGGTGAGCACGAACATTCACCGGGAAATGGTTGAGATAGAACTCCAACAACGCCTACGAAGATGGTTCGTTTGCGGGAGGAAACTATAAGTCCACAATACGAGAGTAGGAGTGAACCAAAACATGTGATCCAGAGACCTCAAACGGTGGCGTTGTATTGCATTCTATTTAGACTGTATCATGTGCTTCATTTACGAAAGTTAGTTTGGAATATAACTTAAAACTTTGCAAAAGGAAATTGGAATTGCGAATTTTATTCACGTTCATGACGACGTTTGCTGAAACCAAACTTTAACTACTTCTATCAGTATGATGAACACCAGCAGTTGGTATTCTTCATACTAACCAGGGAATGCCCTTTGGTTTTGGGCATGGAAGTTTTAGTCTTGAAGATGAAGAAACACATTAGGTCCAAATAATGCCAAAGCCGGTCGGCCTAATCCGCTAGTGTCGTAGTGCTCGTTAACCCACTCACCGCTATCAAATACTGTTTTTTTTCCGATTCTCTATATCCGGCGATTAGAGGAACGGTAATTGAAACCGGGGCAGGAAAGCGTCACGTTACTGGTTGTTCAGAACACAAATTGAAAAACTGAAGATATGCTGCAGAAGAACCAGCGCAACATTAAATCAGATGATACAGCAACCAATTATGTTACATTTGAGTCTCACATCCAGTCTCAGAATAACATTAAATTTGTTATGTAATATCATGGGAAACGTACCACTCACCTCGAGAGAGATATTACCATACTTACCCATGAATGGATACGAGGATCTTAGTTACTCTGTGTTTTAGTTATCGAGACGCTGGTCTACTCCTATTCACTTATGACATCTTTTCGCATACATGACGAATGAACTAATATGGAACAATAAGAACTTCAACAAACCAGTGCAATTACCCAGAAGACAGGGAACCACGTCGACGTGTGGGCACTGATCCCGGACCGGTGGACAAAGGACCTTCGCAACGGGGTTCAGGAACGGGATTTTCTGGATTCGGATTGTATACGTCACCCAGGATTCGCACAGTGATTAACGGTGCGAAATTCTCCGCACAGAAAGGACAAG